CTTTTCGGCATCGGATTCGGCCTTGGCAAGTACAGAGGCCAACCGAGCTTCAAGCTCCTCAATTCTTCTTGCTTGAACCAGGCCTTTTTACTTCATTTTCTAAAGTTGGGTTTCGGACGTTGATAACTGGGCTCGAGCAGTCTCTTTTTTTGTAGCAAAGCGGTCCATATCTTCTTTCCACCGCAAAGACTCCGTTCTTATCACGTCGACCTCCTCACGAAGCTTCCCGATCATCTCGATTTTTTGCTGCAGCTGTGAGACCGAAATGTTAGCTATCGTTCTGGTATCAAGCCCATAGGCTTTCAAAAGCATCATTACCTGCTCAGACAAATCGGTCTGATCTCGACAAGCCTTGGCCAGCTTAGCTCGGAGGTCTTTTATTTCCTCTTCTCTCTGCCCTATGGAAAGTCTAAGGGAGTTCCTCTCGTCAGTAGCCCGTTGTAGGTTGGCCTCGTATCGATGCAACTCATTCTGGGATCGAGAACATTGTTCTCGATGAACTGCCGCTGCCTACAAAGAAACAAGAAGCGAAGTTAACGAAAATGAACATAAAGATAGTACCGACAAAATAATTTTAAAAGCTCACCTGATTCAAAGCCTGCCGCAATCCGTGAAAAAGATCTGATTCATCACCAGCACCGGCAACATCCTCAATGCTGATAAACAGGTCACGAAAGGGATCTTCTTCATTATGAGGCCTGTTTAGATCGAGGGCTCCCAGAGCTTGAGCTTCCCGGATCACCCCTGTGGAAAAAGCGGGAAAGTTAGGCGAATCCTCAACTGCTGCTGCCCCAAATGAATCACCTGGAGCGTTCTCCTCGGTTCGAAGGGGTTCGAGGGCCTCTTCGGTCATACCCCCTGCCGGTCGACTCCGATGAGATGCGTCTTCGATATCCGATAGTTCGGGGACTCTACCCGAATCTTTCTCCGGTATATCTTCAGTTCGAGGCGTAGCCTCATGGAGCATCATCGATCCAACCGGCGATGAGGCATCGGTGGTTCTCTTCATTCGGACCGCCAGCGCGGACTCATCGTTCTCTTCTTCTTCTTCATCATCTTCATCCCTTAGACGCAGAACAGATTCCACGGTCAAAGGAATGACATTCTTATTCGGCTTACAAGCCATCCTCTTCTTCGGTTTTGGATCTTCGGGAACCGAGGCTCTTTTCCTTTTATTTTCCTTCGCCGGCTTTGGGACAGAGGCCGAAATTTCCTCCTCATTGGACAAGGGCCTCAAAACCGCATCCTTACCCAAACCTGCATATGGAAAACCTTAATAAAATATTTTGAAAACCACCTCGTTCGGATCATCAAAGAGTCCGAGAAATGATCTTACCGTGATTTTTGGCCTCCCACCGACCCTTTGACAAATCACGCCATGAGCGCTCGGCGTATGTGGAGGTCGAAACAAAGGCTTGTACCCAATTCTTGAGATCGGGAACTGCTCCGGGCATCCAGGGAACCGCTACATCACAAAAAAGGAGTGTCGATGAGAGAGTAAATGAAAGAACAAAGCAGAAGTAACAGCAAGATCACACTTACGTTTCATATTCCACTCCTCGGTAAAGAGCATCTTTTAAGTCAGAATCAGGTTCGAAGCCCTTACTCGAACGAACATGCCCATCCAACCCTAGTTCCTGTCCTCGTCAATACTCGAGAGCAGAGCCTTGGTAGCCCGACGCTGAAGTGTTATTAACCCTCCTCGAAAAAGTCGAGGACGGTACAATCAGATAAGATGGTCGAGGGTGAACGGCATCCCCTCGATTTTGCTCACAAAATATCAGATCAGGATAACGATCTGCCACAAAGAAGGATGGACCTGGCCTAGGGTTACCTGGTATTGTCGACAGAAGTCAATAATAATGGAATCGAGGGGACCTAAAGTGAAAGGGTAAGTATACACATTCAAAAACCCTTTCACGTAAGAAGTGATATCTTCGTCAGGGGTAGGAATTATTATTTCTTTTTCACCCCAATTGCAATCCTTCTTTAGCTGTTCGAGATGCTTCTCGGTTATCGAACACATGTACCTCGATACCGGCTCACACCGGCCAGGGACCGATGAACCTTTACCGACCTTAAAATCTGAAGTAAGGACACACGCCCCGGGAACACACTCCTCAGGCTGTGGTTCTGCCGGTGTCTCATCGGCAGCACACTGTGAAGATGAAGCCTTCTCTTTCTGAGGAATGGTTTGCGATGTTTTCGCCATTTTCGAATTCAAAGGTGAGGAATAGAAGAAAGTGACAAAGATTTGGTAGAATTGAAGAGGGGTTTTTGCAGAAAGAAATCACAGATTTACTGGTAAGTTGGAGAGTACGAAGAAGAACTTGGGAAATTTGGAAGATAGAAGATGTAAAAGTGGTAAAAGATAAAAGAAAGGGTTATTTATAGGTTCAAGCGATGGCTGTTCAGTATCAGCAGTGGCCGACCACCGCCCGACATACATTTAATGCCTTGAAAGACTAACCCGACGGAACAGCTACCAGATGCGTCATAGTCGAACCCGATGGAAACAACAGGTTATAATCCGATCGAACTGTTAAAAAATCATATCGTTTCTCGCCACATTCTTTCTGAGAAACGAGGGGACTATCTGTATACGGTCGAAATAGGTTTCGGCCTTAGCACGTCCGATCGAGTTCGAACGATGATCTATCGAAGTAAGACCCCGAAGGTGGAACAAACTAACCTCGAACCCGGAGAGGCCAATCCGTGTCAAGTTCGATATCATCATCAAGCTCGAATCGAAATCGAGGGTTCTAAGCAGGATCGAGCTCGCAGACAAAAGCCGTTGCAATCCCACTAGAGAGAATCTTGGCAGAAATCATGGAAAAACTGACTTATCATGGGTCTCCCACTGAATGTTTATTTTATTATGCTTAGAGCCAAATCCCTCCACTATAAAAGGGCTTGGTTACCATTCCGTAAAACAAGTTTTTTCAGGCTTACATTGTAATAAAAGTGCTATATTCTTCTACAGTAAAGAATCGTTCTTTCAGATTTCTTAGATTGATTCTATTTGTTGAATTCTAAGATTCATTGTTCCTGATAACCTTATCTATTTTGCATTCTTTGCAATCTATATTTACATTTCTATTTATCCTTGTATTTTGTGTTAAGTTACGCCACATATCCTCGGAACTGCGTATAAATTCAACTCTATCCATTTTTCGGGTAAACACATGTTGATGCAAGAAGTTTTGCAGTGAGTTAAAAGAAATCTCAAAGAGAGGAGAGATCATCTTCAAAGCATATTTTCGGTGGGAAATCTCTTGATCAGAAAATGGTTACTTTGACTGGTAAAATATTGCAAGAGTTCAGCCTTCCAACCATTGCCATTCCTCTGATAGAAAATAAAAATACTGATCTTAAAGAAGCATTAACATGTTTTAGTATGAATATACCTGAAACCTTCATCTTCTTTAATTTTAATTGAGCGGCCGGAATAGAGTGTTGCGCCAGCTGCCATACTGATAATCAGTAATTAAGAAATACGATTCATTAAAGAGCAAACTTGCAAAACAGGTGAATGTGACGGCCATTTACAACAATACCTGGAACAAATATTTTAGCTGCCTCCTTAAGTGAACCTAAATCTGTAATATCTTTGGCCTGTTAAAGTTAATACAATAGGACACGATCAGAATGTTGCTACATATACTTACAGCATAAGAGCTAATCTCATGAAGAGGATCCGGGAGTTGCTACAGATACTGACAGCATAATAACAAATCTCATGAAAAAACTAAGTTTACAAACATTCACAGAATAGAGATTGAATTAAGCACCAGTATTGCCTTTTACGAACCTCTAAGAAGGTGATTTTCAGCTGATTAGATGGGCGAATCACAACACTTAAAACTTCGGATCTGTATATCACATAAACCAACAATAATAAATAAGTATTAAATAATACAATTGAAGAGACATCGTTGAAGAGAGCAAAGATTATTCATTAGATTATTTTCTTCCTTAGAGATTGCTGTGAGGAAAAGATAATGGATAATGTAGTACATAGAAAAAGAGAACTAAAGAAAATAGAATCACAAGGAGAATCCTTTGAGAGGCAGAGCAACACTGATGAAAATTGCTAAGAATTTGTAAAATTTTGTAAAGGATGAAGGATCTATAAAACTATATCAATCTATATAATTATGATAAGGATCTGTGACAATATAGAGATATGATATTTCTGTAATTACAGCTTATATTAGGTAGATATTATTTGTAATAAGTAGGAAGATTTTATTAATGAACGTTTTCATAATTTAGAGCTTATGTAAAAACTATATAAAGCCCCAAACCTTGAGGGAATAATATAGTAAACCATTTCAAAAGTTTCTTCTCCTCTTCTTTTTCTAAAGAATATCGCAGTTTGAATATCAAATCCTTCCCCTGAACATTTAATTTTCAATTACCATCCCGGAAAAGTTTTCTTATCTATTTTTTTCATGGGCATTTAAGTCTCTATTTTGAACTGCATTGTTTTCTTTACAAATTAAAGAGTTATTTTTACTTTAGGAGCATATCCACTGGACTTCTGTGATGGTAAAAATTTACTTGCACCCGGTATTTACACCAAAATCAATAAATGCAAGACGTTTGTCTTTCATACACTTATTTATCACTTAACCATGGTTATGTAATAATTCAATTTTTATTTGTTAAGATTAAATTGATTGTTTTAGTGTGACCAGTGGGTAGTATTTACCCTTCTGCGATTACGCATTGGGTATGAGGTAATTATATCAAATATTTATGACAATTGTACATTAAACAATCATCAAATCAGGGAGGAGGGGGAGGGGAAGAAATCTATCATTCTTGAGGGAATAGTCAAACAAAATTTTTATGAAGAATCTGATGTGATATCCCTGCAATTACGGATTAGATAGGAATTATTATTCTTTATCAAGTACGAAGATTAATTATGCATGCATCCTAATTTGGACTCTATGTAGAAACTATTAAATCCCAAAATCTTGAGGGAATAGTCAAACAAAATATACCCAAAATCTCATCTACTCTTCTTTTTCTGTAAAAAATAATGGCTCTTCTGACAGCTTAACTGATCTCACCAGCCTAAATGAAAAATCCAGATGAAGAGTTAATGAGGAAATTCTTGTGCTATTCAATAACAGAGATTATGAGATGCATTGGATGTTTATAATGTGTAAGTCTCTTAATCTGATAATGTTGCAATGACCTACCATCCATTTACAAGTGTCTAGGGATGGCAGCTAGGCAGGCTGCGGCAGATTTGGGACAGGGAAGCCTTTGCCCTGCCCCCGCCAGTTTTTTGCAGTTTCAAGAATGCAAACAAACAAAAAAAAAGTGAGAGAATATATTGGAAGACTAAGAAAAGCAGATGAGATCCCGAGGAGAAGATCCCGAGTGCAGCAAAGACTCCCTAATCAAACAGTAGTCACAGGAGAATCCTGAATGCTACAAATAGAGAGAGATGCCAAAGATTTTTTTTTTCCAAAACTAAGCACACCGACTTCTATGGAAAAGCATACATCTTACTTGCTTTATGAAAAGCACACATCTTTCGTGATTGCTTTGTGGATGTCTCCTCCAATTAGGATGTTGTATACGGTCAAAACCGATTCGAGTGAGTCGTACGGACTGATCGAGACGATAATGTTTCGATCAAAGGATATCTGCATGACAAGCTCGGTCAAGATCCGAAATAAGAGCGGCGAACTTCGAGCTCTAAGACCGATCAAATGACAAGCTCGATATCATTATCGAGCCCATATCCAAATCGAACTACGAGGCAAAGCGGAGATTATCGAAGATGCATGGACCAACCAACATTCACCCTGAATACCGAGACCCCAAGTCAGAATCGAGCTCGAACCAAGGCCGAGGGCTCGATCCAACACCGAGCTCGAGCCAGTATCGAGCTCGCAGATTAGGGACGTTGCAACCGCACTATGGGAGAGAATCTTGGCGAAAATCGAGGAAAAGACAATATATCATGGGCTCTCCACTACGTATTTTTTGTTGTATATAAAGTAGGATCCCTCTACTATAAGAGGGATGGCAACAAAAGATCACGGGGGCAGAAAAAGATAATCCCTTGTGCTTGTTTTACTCATTCTTTTTGCTCACTATTTTCATTCTCATAGTTAAGAATACACATATTTTTATTTCTCTACACGATTTATATCAAATTGTATCGCATATCCTTAGAAACATACACAAATCTAACGTTATCCGATTTTTTAGGAAAAAACAGTTTGGCGCCCACCGTGGGGCTAAGGGTAATAGTGGTTGTTTGATACAAATCTTCAATACACACCAGTTTACAACTTCAGATCAACAATGGCAAACCCTCGATTGATGGCTATACCTATCGACCACGAAGTCGGCCTTCAAGATGAAACCAACGACTTGACACCCAGGGCCGGAAGGCGAATTAACGATGTCACCGAAGCTCGAGTCGAAGTACC